TAAAACGTGTTCCCACAGCGCTCGGGATTATGAATCCCCACTGCACATGTATTGCACTTTCCCATGTAATTGTTGTGGGTGGCCTTGGAGGTCTTGTGGGTTGATTTGGCTACCCTTAAAGGCAATTTGGAACCCTCTGCTAGTGCAGAATATGGCAGTCTGCTCACTTAATGGAGCATAGAATAACTGCTCTGTAGATTACACTGTCAATTTATTTCTGGGTACAATTCATAATGTTCATTCTGATCTATACCACTGTATATGCTTTGGCTCTTGTCTGCCTTAGATGTCAACTCTTCATTATGGACCACGCAAGCACTTGAGATCAAGTGGCTTACTGGCTAGCAGTGCCTAGATTCGAACTCTTGGGAGTGGGATGTCCGATTATCATCCATGGAGTGCACTTGGCTTAGTCACTTCTAGAGCTGACTGGATGATAATTCAAAACCTTGAAAGTTTCCATGGAACAGAAATTTCTCTTTCCTGATTGGATCAAAGAGTCAGGAAGGAGGTGTTTAAATGTCAAGAGAGACAGACACACAAAATCAACCTAAACAGCAAGAACTAAACTAACATCTACTAATTCCAAATAAAAAACCCAAGCAGAGTTTTGGTCCCAAGAAGGGAGAAGTGACAGAGACTCCATAAAGTCCTCTAGGCACTGCTCTATTGATTATAAATGGAAGGTGTTCAGATACTATGGTGAGGTGCCACAGTCTAAACCAGTGGTTCTCAACCACGGGTACATGTACACAGAGGTCTTCCAGGGGGCACATCAACTCTTCTAGATATTTGCCTAGTTTTAAAACAGGCTACATAAAAAGCACTAGTGAAGTCAGCACAAACTAAAATTTCATACGACTTGTTTTTACAGCTCTATATACTGTACACTGAAATGCAAGTTCAATATTTATATTTCAATCCATTTATTTTATGATTATATGGTAAAAATGAGAAAGGAAGCAATTTTTCAGTGATAGTGTGCTGTGACATCTGTATTTTTATGTCTGATTGTGTAAGCAAGTAGTTTAAGCGAGATGTAACTTGGCGATACACAAGACAAATCAGACTCTTGAAAGGGCTGCAGTAGTCTGGAAAGATTGAGGGCCACTGGTCTAAACCCATAAGATAGGGATATCATCTCCAGACCCCTTTCCCAGTAGTTTGGGAAAGCTGCCTTCACAGCATGTGCACCTCTCCCCACATAGAAGTCCCTGGGCAGGAGGAGCCAGATAGCACAGGTGAGCAGGGGATAGGCAGTGCATGTGGATTTGGGGAGAAAGGACCGGCCACACTATGACAGATTCTCCTCACTCCCCAAATCCATGGGGCAAACAGTAATACTTGTTTGGATCTGCATTAATATGCACTGGGACGTCTGGCTGCATTGGAAGGAGGCAAAGCGATGGAGAGTGACCTTGGATCTTCCACACATGTGGAGCCTGATCTTTACAGAGCCCCTGTGAAGGAGCATCTGCAAGCTGTGAGGAATGGGGGATGTTACTACACAGCTGCAGCTACCCAGTTCCATGCCCTCCTGAGGGAGAATTTTGGTTCCCTCTGCTTGCAGATGCAAAAAGGATGATCCAGTCCTAATATTTTGGAGCTCAATCATGCCCTTGAGATCTGTACTTGCATCTCTTCTTCCTAGGTAGAAAATGGTCTTCACAGTTACAGTTTTCCCTTTCCTCAGATTCTGCAGAGGGCTGTCCATAGGCCCTGCCTAGCCTGTTCCCCCCGAGGCCCAGCCCACCAGTCACACAGCAGGGAGTGGACAGAGATGAGCATTCACCGGCAAAAAACAAAAGTCAGCGCCTGTGAGTGAGTGGGTCAGGATCAAGGCTCAGGGGACATACATTTTAGAGATTCCCAGCCAGAGGCTAGGCTGCAGAAATGCAATATTTCTTCTACAGTCAGGATTGCCCTTTAAGGGCAGCCACCACCAGGGGGCTCCATTGGAATGGTGAGGCCAAAGAGCAGCTCCAGGAATCCAGAGCAGTGATGGACAGTTAGAGCACTAAAACGGAAGGCCCTGGCTGCCTGCTGATACCTCAGGGCAATGTGGGAGGGGAAGTGTAATGGGTGCACTCACTCTCACAAGTACCCCCATCTCATAGTGCACATGCCTGCTCTCTTAGTTTGTGGTGGGTTTTCAGTGACTCAGCCCTCCAGCTGAGTCACACACAGTAAGTCCGTGAGATAAAAAAACACTTCCAGGACACAAGTCCAACCAGGCCTATCCCAAAGCCCTCAGTAATGTCTCTTTATCTGCAGCCCTATTCCTGAGCTCACTCCTTAATTAGTTCAGCAGGGCTTATCACAGTACCCTGGTTTGAACTGTCTCACCCACTTCTGGGCTCTCTCAAATGGTCCCTGCTCTTCAAGCAGTCCTGACCCTCATGCAAGACCACATCCCCCAGGTCTCCCTCACTGGAGGCTCTTCATCTCTCTGGACCTTTCCAGCTCCAGCTCTTCACCTGGGCCACTAAAAGAATTCAGTTTCCCCTTCAGGAATGTATCAAAGTCCAGCCCAGTTTCCCAATGGATGGTGGGGAGGACCCAGGCCCACCCTCTACTCCAGGTCCCAGCCCAGGGACCCTTTAGGGAGCAGCCATTCACCACATCCCTATAAAAAAACTTTATCACTGCTACAATTCCCTGAACCACTTCCCCACATCCTCTGTTCATTCTTCACACTTACCTCAAGCCTTGTCCTGATGGAGTCCCAGCAGCCAACCAGGAGCACTATCCATTCTCCTCCAGCTCTAGCAAGGAACTGAACTCACTCTGTCCCTGCAGCTCTTCTTATACTAGCCTGCTTGGCCCCGATTGGCTGCTTCTCACACAGCCAAGCTAGGAAGCTTGGAGGACCTTTCTACTTCCCTTTTGTGGGGTGGAGTGAGGCAGGGCTGCAAGGCTCCAGCACAGGGCTTCTGGACCCATCCACCCCATCACAGGAAGCAATGTCCCTTTCCAAAAGACGCACCTTGCAGAGATGTCCTCCCCCATTGACTGGAATGGCTCTCTGCCAATGTACACCCACGGTGACTTAGGCACTGCATTTATTGTCGGAATATTTCTTATTCTCAGAAACCCCACAGAGCAGGCAAATTATTCAGTCCCAGTCAACATAATGTTGTTATTATTATTCTTATTAAAAAACCTTTACTGAGGCTTTGCCCTGTGCCGATGTCCTCCATGCAAAGATCTCAAAGCACTTTACATGGGTCCTGAATTAATCCCAGGGTGCTGGGCAAGTGCATTACTACTTGGGGCTCTCGATGCCTCCATGCAATAGTCTCCCCTTGCACAGTTGTGGAAGCCCAAGGCCAGAGAGGGGAAGTGCTTTGCCCAAGGCCATCCATCCAGTCAACAGCAGAGTCGGGGCAGACCCCAGAAGGCCTGGCTCCATGACTACAGAGCCTCCCCTTCCCACCAAAGAAATGCTTCTTGGCAATAGATTCATCCCAAGATGCTGGCAGTAGAAAATGTACCAGAGGTACTGCCCTGGGGGTCTTCCCTGGTGCCAGGCGGTGCCATGCACCTCTCTAAAACCAAGCTCTGGCTCATTTCAGAGCTAAAGAAGCTGTTGCCCCAGCATAGAACCCTGCACCCCACATCCCATTGTCTCTCCTGGCTGGGGGGCTAAGCATCCTCCAGACCAGTGGTTTTCAACCTGTGGTCTGCAGATCCCTTTGGGGGGCTGTACACTACATCTAAGATTTCCAAAGAGGTCCCCACCTCCATTCAAAATTGTTTAGGGGTCCGCAAATGAAAAAAGGTTGCAAACCGCTGTCCCAGGCTATTAGCTGTTTTGTTGAACAATCTGGGGCCACCATGTCCCTTCCTCCCCCCACACTCCATCCAGACTGGGTGCGCCTGCAGGTACATTGGACATTTGGGCTAGCACTAAAGAAATGTGCTGGAGCACAGTCTGAGGAGTCTCACTGAGCTTAGTGTATAATGTATATGCTGCAGATTGGTGTCTAAAGCTTCTTTATTAACTTCCATGCAAAATGCCAGTGGTGTTTTTCTATATGAGTGGATAGCCAATATTTTGGGAGCGAGGGAGCAAACATGGCCAGAGCCTGCATATCCAGAGGCTAAGGTTTCTATCATGGGCTGCTTTCGATTGTTATAATTTTTGGCACGGATTCAGTGAGAATCTGCTCTGCTGAAAATATTTGGGCTGTGAAAACTCCCACACTGTGACAGATGTCAAGTCCAATTAAGTGACTCGTATCCAGGTTTCTGTCCAATAGGATTTCCCATTAAATATCAATTTGGGGGGGGGGAATGCCATCCCTCTTTCCCTATGCCTTTATCTCTTCCACCATCTCCAGGCTCCTCAACCCTTTGGTACCAGGAGAGAGTCCACAGCATCTCTGTTTCTCTCCCTCTGCCATCTTCTCCAACTTTTCTTTGCTTTGCTTTCACTACAAGGGGGACTTGCACTTTTTCATTAACATCATCCCTTGCAGCATTTCCAAGCCACTGGTAATGGTTTATATATATATCCTTCTTTATATATATATATGAGATAAAGAAGGAGTTGGGACAGAAGGATACCGGGTATATTTTAAATCTGATCTTCAAGGATTGGAAGAAAACTAAACATTTATTTCCCTCCACCCCAGTAAATAAACACATACATAAAAAAGAAGGGGATGCATCATTATTCCTGATTTACAGTAGTGTGTGCCTGGGAATAGAAGAGACATCAGCTGAACAAAGCCTATGTCTACCAAACAATCTCATTTCTGAGCCAGATCATATCAGAGACCTGAATATCATTTTCTCTTTACAGGGGTAAGCCAAGGAGTACAAAATAAATTAAATCTTGTCCCGACCATCATCTTTATCGATTGTCCTGCTATTAGGAAGGGTGGGGTGTGGGGGGGCGGATATCTTGATTGTGTTTATCTCTGCATCTCTTTTGTTATTTATCGAGACCTGGGAGGAGGAAGAGAAGGGACAAACAGCTCTTTTCAACACATCCCCCCACCCCCAGCCTCGCCCCCCTCGAAACACACCGGCTACTGATATATTACAGATCTCTGGGAGAAAAAAGACTTTGATGGGGAAATGTATTTCTAATATGTCTTAAATTACCTAGGTTGTTATTTATACTCTCCAAAAATTAGATAATATCTTCCATTTCTGGGCCTGCGAGGCCATCACAAGGAATGAGATCTGCCTTTTCCAATTCAAACAGAACAACTCGCTTCTTTTCATTTATTTTTTTAATGTTCCTCTCCTGGAGTTCCGAACTGTAAAAGCTCCAGGGTGGGGGAAAGAGGGCTTTAAGAAAGACTGTTGCAAAGACTCATGCAAGGTAAGCTCTCTTTAATATTCTTTTGCAGGTGAAATTGGAATCGTTTTATTTGAAATCTCTCTTTGTTCAGATTGCCAGCATAGACGCTGGATATTGTTTGAGATCAACCAAATCGTAAAGAAAGGGAATTCAATACGCTGTATGGACAAACCTTACACAACTTTCTCCTATAACTAATGCTATAATTTCCCGTTTTATATGTTGCCACGCTGTAAATTTCTAAAGCTATTTATCTATCCGTTCTTTCCAACCAACCTCGCAGCTGAAAGGCGCTATTAATATTTTTCAGAAGATCGTTATTTAATCTGCGTAGTGGCTTGTTATTTTGTTTTGTATTCTTGCTTTCAGAACCTCATTAGTAAAATAATCAGCATTTTAAAATAGCAATAAGCAATTCGGAAAGTTCTAGTGATCCCCGATTCTCTTCTAAATAAAGAAATGTCGCTGTTGTCCTTTCCCCGTTTTCTGTTTTGCAATCGTTTCATGTTTGTTTCCTTTGCTCTCTACACAGCTTCCTGCAGCTCCACTGTTTGTTTTCTTGACACAGTCACTGGCATACTGATAGATTTTTAATCCGTGTGGATGTGTTGTAATAAAACAACTAACTACAGAGAGATCTGTATTTTAGAATCTGAATTCCCACTCAGGCTTTCCTCAAACGAAGCTCCTCAATGGGAAAAGCATTTCAAACGGGGGAAAGCTTATCTGACACCTCACCTTTTATTATTAATTATCATGATTATTTTATTTAAAATCTTTAATGCGCTCTGAATCATGCAGTCTTTCGTTCTGAAGATTTTTTTGCAAACTGGTTCTGAGTAATAATAATAATGTATAATAATAATAAATCATTAAATGCCCACAGTAGTTAAATCATAAACTTTACATTGAAATACTTTGTAATCCTAATTTTTGTGGTAGGATAATATTCCCTCCTCCCTCCCCCACCCCACATTTGTGTCCAAGGTTATTCTCTAGTTGCCTGATGTATTGTTTTATACATCACAGCGTTTCCATATGAATCCCTGGACTTGCATTGCTGTCTACATGACAGATGGTGTTCTGTGAAGCTGTGAAGGATTCAATTTTCTTTTGAAAGGCACGTCTAATTTCATTCATTTATTTACATATTTTAGAAGGAGGGAAAGAGAAAGAGAATGAAAAGCAATGTGAACGTTTTTTTTAAAACCACCTTTAATAACCTGGAACCCAGAAATATCCCCATCCAATCAGTTACTCTGACGCTATAGATTCAAGAAAATTAGCATGAGAAAGCAGCCCCACATTGTAGGAAGAATAGAATAGAGGAGATACATTAGATCCTATAGGTTTGATTGTATCTCCCCCATACTTCCACACTGGCCTTGTTATGGTTAAGGGGTCTTAAGTTATATGTCTTTCTATTTTAAGCCATCAAATCCATATTGGAGTCCATTTCTGCTTACAAATCCTTGGGAGAAGTAGGGAGGAGGCTCAGGCAAGGGGAAGGATATTGGTAATTATTATTAATTAATTAATATGTATTATTATTATGTAATGTTATTTTTCAGCCAGGTAAAGGGAGATATCATCAGAGGCTAGAGGGCATGGTTCTACTCAGGAGTAACTCCACTGAAGTTAATGACACAAAGCTAAAACTGACAGAAATGAGAGCAGAATCAAACCCTAGTCTAGTCTGGTTATACCCAACCTGCCTTTGTGCCCAAACACATTGTTGTCTCATTGTTATCAACAGGCCCTATCTCTAGCAGGGGGCACTTTTTTCTTTGTCTCTATTCCCCTCCTACTCCTTTGTCCTCCCCTAAATCAGACTGGAGATATTCACAATACATGTACCAGATCTCATGTCCACAGATGAGTAATAATAATAATTATTATTATTTGGTGTCATCTTGTCCACCCATCTGGGGCCAATGCAGAAATGTTCTCCACAAGCCATTCCTTGGGGTTTTGTCCTGTAGGGTTTCCAATATCTCCAGTGATGGTGATTCTGTTGTGTTCCTTGGGGAGATGATGACAAAGAGTAATCAGTCTATGGCTATTAGGGAATGTCTCCTGAAATCCAGTTTTAAATTTCCCTTCGATCTATTTCATGGCCCTGTGTGACATTATTGACATGAACTGGGACCGTATAGATCATTGGTGCAACCAAGGTCCTGTAGTGGCTCCAAATCTTCTATAAAAGGGGTCAAATAAGGTGTCTAAGACAAGGTTATGGTTTGCTGGTTATGATTATGCTATCTGTGTGCATGTATCATTTTTGTATTTAAAGTTATTAGTATTGGCTCTATACTGTCTGTATTTAAAACTTGTGTTATGCTTCTGGGTGACACCCCAGATCATTTGGCATCAGCACTGCCTAGCCTGCTCGATGGCTCATTAAGGACCATCAGCTGTACAAATGACCCATTGAAAGAAGGCACATACACCTTGTGACTAAGCAAGGCATGCAGGGATATGCCTATGGACAGAACTCAAAGGTTTTTTCATGCCATGTGCTGGAATGCTTGTCCTTGGGACAAAGAAAGAACGGCCACATCACAAAAGATTATAAAAGACTGCTGCAGCTCCTCCATCTCATCTTCAATCCTGCTTCTGACCTCTGGAGGAACCTTGCTACAAACTGGAGCTCTGAACAAAGGATTGAATGACCCATCCCAGCTGTGGATGTACTCCAGAGACTTGATTGAACCTGCAGTTTATTCCATCACTGCTACAAGCCTGAACCAAGATCTTTGCCATTACTGTATGTAATTGATTCCATTTAGCCAATTCTAGCTCTCATCTACATTGTTTTCTTTTTATGAATAAACCTTTAGATTTTCGATGATAAAGGATTGGCAACAGCGTGATTTGTGGGTAAGATCTAACATGTATATTGACCTGGGTCTGGGGCTTGGTCCTTTGGGATCGGGAGAACCTTTTTTCTTTTACTGAGATATTGGTTTTCATAACCTTTCATCCCCATAACGAGTGGCACTGGTGGTGATACTGGGAAACTGGAGGGTCTAAAGGAATTGCTTGTGTGACTTGTGGTTAGCCAATGGGGTAATACCGATGTCTTCTCTGCTTGGCTAGTTTGGTTTGCCTTGCTGTGCATAGAAACCTCAGCCTTGGCCTGTAACTGCCCTGCTTTAAGCAATTTGTCCTGAATTGACACTCTCAGTTGGGTCCCACCAAAGCCAGCATTGTTACCCCCTGCAATTTCAGCCCTCGGGTCCCTGCACAGGCACATCCATCCAGACATGCAGCCCCCACTAGAGTCATGGGCTCCCCATACAGCAATGCTGTTGCAACTCATGCTCTTTAACTTTTCTCTCATCAGAGTGCATGTTGTTAGAGCAAGAGCTGCACCTGACTCTGCTCTTTGAGATATACTCCTTCCTTCCTGTCGTGCGATTCAGTCAGAGCCACTAAGAAGAGGGACATTCCCAGCAAAGTGCGGAATGAATAATATCATCACCTACCAAGGTGCGAACTTTGGGGGACTGGCCAAAGAGTTCACCTGCAGCATGTCTGAACTGTGGCAGGTGGATTTCGATGACACCATTTCCTCACTGAAGGTCATTGGGCAGCCGTGGCTGGCCTTCAGAGATCCTGATTATGGAGGACCAGTCCATGCTTTTAAGGAAGGTGAATATGGACGTGTAGGTATGAATAACCACATTTCCTCTCTGCAACTGGTTTATGAAGACCTGGACGATCCTCTGATCACCTTCTATGACCCTCTATGAGGTGCTAATGAAGGAGACTGACTTGTCTACAGGATATTTTGGTGACAAGCAGTGCTGTAACAAGGGCGAGGCGAGTGAGGCACTTGCCTCAGGCACACAAAGTCAGGAGGACGCAGAAAGTGGTGGAGAGAAAAAAAAGCTGCTGGCATGGAGATATTTATAACCCAGGTGATCTCCCCCCTGGCCCCACCTGCGGCCCCCCCCGCGCCTCCCCCGAGTGTCCCCCGACCTGACTTGCTTCCCTCCTGCTCTTCCCGGCCCCAGAGCAGAGCAGCTCCTTGCTGCCTCCCTGCAACAACTGCTGCCGCGGGGTCCTAGTGCCCCACTTCTCTA